TTAATTTAATACTGATATCGATATTTTTCTTTTCAAAAATTTACAATAGATTCAAATTTATATTTTATTCAAAAAATAAATACATTATCGTTTTTTCAGTACCACATAAAATCGTATTATAACATCGACGGAAACATAATAAAATAAAACAACTAAATTAAGATGTATCTCGCTGCATTGTGCGAGTACCATTCTAGTTATATTATAAAATATTTGACAAAAACTCTTAAAAATCATTTTTATGCATGAATTATTGTTTATTGATGCATATTATTTAAAATTTAAGATTATAAGTAATTTTGCGTAAGTACAAAAACTATATTTTTTAAATTTGTGTAACTAACTGCATATACATAATCTAATAGAGGATAACATTTTTTTTAAATATAGAAAATCTAAAATATAATTAAGATAATCATTGAGTTTTGACAGAATGTTTAATTATTATTTTTATAAAAAAATATATTATCAAACCAAAAATAAATTACTTTGTTATTGAATCTAAATTAAATTATAATAAAAAAAGTTGAACTAAAGAAGTTACACCAAAATAACGAGAACTATTAAATAGTTAATTTGATACTAATATTGATTTTTATTTTTTCAAAATTTTATGATATATTCAAATTTATATTTCATTAAAAAATAAAAATATTATCATTTTCTCAAAACTAAACATTAAAATGGAAATTTATCTAGTTGTATTGCACAGATACCCTTCTAGTATACATTATAATGTATGTATATTACAAGTTTAAAAAAACCTTATTTTGAGTTATTTAGGATTAAAATAATCAAATTTAAAAATATATTTTTTTTGTTAAAAGAGTATAAACTTCTAGAAAACAAAATATAATTAGGTTAAAATAAGAAAAACTAAAGATTATCATATATCTACATAACATTTTTTTTAAATTGGTTTAAGAAAAACCAATTTTATTTTAAAGAAATAGGTAAATATATTTTATAATGATGTTATAATATTATATATAAACCTGGTTCTTTTAATTATGAAAAACTTATAAATCAGGTTTTCTTTAAATAACATTATGAGATGATCTGTTTTGGGACCCAGAGAATGCGAAGGGGCCGAAGATGGTGGAGAGAGGTCGCTGGCGATAGGGGACGGACAACGGAGGTCAATAATACATGGGGAAGAGGGAGACGGTGAGGTAGCTCGTGAGGAAGAGTGACTACAAACAAGATTGATGGTGTAAGGAGGACATAGATGAGGGAGGAAAAGATTACCAGAGGAGTATCGCAGGCGGGAGACACTTCTTCCAGATGAGGATGCTGTGGTTTTGTGTGTGTGTGTGTATATACATATAGATTTTAATATATAAAAATATAGAAATTATGTATTTTTTATATTTTTAAAGAAAAGGTAAAATAACCAAAATGCCTTTGACTCAAAGATGTTAGGATAGGAGGAGCAGAGCACGAACATCGAGGGGAGCACCAAAGAGAGCGGCATGAAGAGGAGATGCGGTATGTGGTGGGGAAGCGAGGTGGTTGAAATTAGGGCAGTAACTGTTTTATGAAATCCGATTGGATTTGGATTTTAAATCCCGCCCATTTCCGAAGGATTTTCAAATCCATTAGTTATGGGATTTCAAATCCTGACAATCCGGCAAACCAAACACGAGATTGAAATAGATTTTAAATCCAAATCTCTCAAATTTCATTCCATTCTGGCAAACCAAACGTACCATAAGATTTCAAAACGCAATTTATGACAATTTTAACAAATATATAATATAGTAAACTACAAATTTAATTGACATGGTTTGTCGATTATATCACTTTTAGTTTCTACGGTTTTGAAAATACAAAATGACCATTGTGTTTTACAAAAACTTATAGGTTTGATCATTTCCTTTAATGACCGTTAAATAAAATCTGTTAAACTATGTTTGACAAACTAATGATAAGTTAATTGATACTAATAAGCTAACTGTAGTTGATAAACTAGCTGATGAATAGATAATGCTTGATAAAAACTAACTAATAATAATGTAAACTTGACAAAAATACATCTTGAAAAATTAGTAAGTACAATATTTTATAATATAATTAAAACTAATATTAATAATCTAATATATTAATAACAAACAAAATAGTTAAAAAAAATTTAAAATAATATAATATGTTAATTGAAAAAGAAGAATAAGATACATTTTGGTCTTTGTGGTTGTCACTCATTATCAAGTTCGGTATCTTTTTTAAATTAATTACAATTCTGGTCAATGTAGTTGTTATTTTGTTTCACTTTTGGTCCATCTTACTAATTCTACTTTAAAAGGTTATTCAATTTTTTTTTTTATCTTTTTCCTTTTTTTTATTTTATTCCATCATAGATTAAATTACAATTTTTTCCATATGGTTTGTCTTTTTCCATTTTCGTCTTTCTTAACATTTCATTTTTCATTTTATACCCTTTATTATATTAATTAATTAATGACAATTTTAACTAAAATTATATAATACATATTTTATTTTTAAATTTCACTATTAAAAAGTCTTGTTGTTATATTTAAAATAAGTTAAATATTGAATAATTTAAATTTTTTATTCAATTTATCCAATATCTATCTACAAATCCATCTACACTATTAATAAAAACATTTATTATTTTAAATTGGGTTACAACAAATGTAACATACTTTATTATTTATGTAAGATGAAAACCGAAATTTATTTATGTTTATTGATAGAAAACGTATCGTAATCGCTCTCTATCTATCACCTACCTACCCCTCTCTCTCTCTCTACACACACACACACACATATATATATATATATATATAGATTTTTAGTTTTGGGTTCACCGAGTATGTTTGACGAGTGTTAAAACTTGATTGTTGTTTTGTTCACGATGTGCATCAAAACCCTTATCAAGTGTTTTTAGTGATCTGTTGATTTTTTTGGTTTTGGTGTTTTGTATGTATTCACTTGTGATTACAAATGAGTTATTTGGTGGTACTTGTTAAGTTATCTGGTGTTCATAGTGTGTTAGGTTACCGGTAAGACTTAGTTATTTTCTGTAAAATTGTCTTGTTAAGATAGAGAATTTATAAAATATCCATAATAATCTTTATTTAAATTTTAGTCAAAATTGTCAAAATTACTAATTTACCAATTAATCTAATACAATTTGTGGTTTATACTCGATCTCACCAATTTCACAAGTTCTACGGTTCTCAAAATAAGGCCCTATATATATATATAAAATATAATAAATCTAAAATATAATTAGAATAATCATTGATTTTAACAAAATACTTAATTAAAATTTAAATTAAATTATAAATTTTTTTATTAAATAAATTACATTAAAATACGAGAATTTTTAAATAGTTAATATAATAATAATATCGATATATATATATAATTTTTTTATGATATCTTTAAATTTATATTTTATTTAAAAATAAAAAAAATATTATCGTTTTTTTAAAAACACATAAAATCGTATTATATTAACAAAATAATAAAACGAAACTTTAAGATCGAGATGTATCTCGTTACATTACACGAATAACTTTACGATCTTTGTAGAATCAAAATTATCAAAAGGAGATATCATTATATTAATAAAATCAACATGTTATCGAGTAATTAAAAATCATCAATATGCTTAATTGATTAAATAAAGATTATTTTAGAAATTGATTAAAAAATAAGAATAAAATTCAAAATTGATCGGATTTATGTGCAATTTGCCAAAATTAAATGTGGTATTTATATATATTCAATATTTACAATAAATGATTTATTATTTTAACAATAAGATTAAAAAACGGTAATCACTAATCAGGGGTTTGCCTCCGGGCCCCTGGTTCGATACGCCTCCAGGTTTATTAGCAATTTGCTGGTTTCCAAATGCTTACGCCGGTGAAGTCACAGTTTTGATCGGAATCCGGTGAGTTTTCCGATTTGCACCCTACTGCTTTCCTGTATACTGTTACAATTTTAATTTAATTTGATTCTATTCAATTTAATGCAGTCTTCCTAATCTCGGGAAAATGCCAAGAGGGAAACTGTAAGATTGCAGTATCAGTGCTGGAAGATGCAACTTGTTGTTTGAATCTGGAAATCATGATTTTCATGGCTTTAACCTCCACTCCTTGAAAGAAAAAGGTGCATTTTGCATTTTGCATTTTGATGTGAACCTAGTAATTTTCTAATAGGAAATTGATATGGATGTTGTTGCTGGTAAATTTATCGTCATTATGTTTCAATTCTGGTATTTATTATGGAGTTTGATGTAGTTATCAAAATATTTTTGCACAAAAAGCTTGGAGTACATGACAATTTGGAAGTTGAAAAAAGAAGTATTAGTTCTTGGAGTACAATTCCCTTCTTGAACCAGTAGCTCATTCATCTTTAAATGATTATCTAAATTGGATTGAACTTTTGTTAGGAAGTTTATACTACAATCAAGTGCATATGACGTGACTGAATACAAATCAACATGCAAAAGTACTTCTGTGATGAATCATAAGGGAGCAAAGTCAACATGTTTCAAGCAAAAGATTTAAAGATTTGAGTGAAACTTGACGTCACCTATATGAATATGAGAGAAAATTGGTCAGGAGGTAGATAAAGCATATCAATTTAACACACTTCAAGAATAGGAAATTGTGGTGAGGTAAGGAAAAAGAAATGCATATCTTTGGTGAGAATGTGCCTGCCTCTATCCTATTATGGTAGTGTACTATTTACAACCCATAGCATTTACCAAGGCTCTTTTAGGTCACTTGACGGCCTAAAACCGAACCAAACTAAACCAAACCCAGGGACCCCCACATGGAGTAGGGTCTGGGGAGGGTAGGATGTATGCATACCTTACTTCTAGCTTTGGGAGTAGAGAGGTTATTTCTGTGAAGATCCCTTCTCGTAAAAATGTTTTGAGAAAAAGGGTTTAGCGAAAAAATAAAGGTTCCAAGTTTTTTACAGAAGTTTGAAAGAACGGGTTGAGAAGAAGAAAAGAGTAAAAGAGAGAAAAATAGTTTGGAAGAGTTGAAAAAAAAAGACAACGGGCAGGTAAAAAACCACCAAAGTAACTAAAGACGAAGATGAGTTAAACAAAACAGCTAGTAGGTGAACCACAACACTTCCTCGCATAGACCCCCCTTGCAATCTAGGGCACCGATATCTAGCTATCCATCATAGGGTCTAACCCTCCTCCGACCCACCCTCTACTTCTCCACCGCTCCCCTAACACTTGAAATTCTTCAAGAATCCAATCAAAAACTAGTAACACAGTCCATCATTAGGACATTGTTTCATAAATGTAAAACTCTTGGCCAAAATGAGCACCTTTCTTTTACTGATTGTACCGGTGCATAAAAAATCATATGATATTCATATGGAAAACTCTAGTTGCTTAAAAATATAATTCCCAACATGTAGGGAAATGATTGGCCTTCACCAATCATTTTATAACTTGTATAATAGGAAAACATAATCCATGTACTAGCCATTTGTGATATCCATTTATGCATAAATTAGATAAAAGAAAAGAAATTAGTTTACTGTTAAACAGTGACCACACAAGTTGCAATTTTTTATATAATTCTTTTAATTTCCTCGATCTTCTTTATTTTGCAAATATGCGTCTTAGCCTATTGGTGACTTCCTTACTTTATTATGTGACGTAATGTAGAATAATTATCATGTGATCATTATTGATTTTCTAGTCCTTTTCTTTCATAGGTTAGTCTCCATGTGATAATAGCATCTGTGCCTTAAGGGATTATTTTAATGTATAGAGCTAAGATCTAGAATAGTTCTGTTCTTGTAATTTTGTGGTGGCCACAACATATTTAACTCTCAACATTTGAAATTGTACATGAAATAAAACCGTCTTATTCAAACCAACTTCCCATGATGACATGCTTAATTCAGTTTTACATAAGCACAAATGACTAAATTTAACCTATACTGCTATTGTATCTCTTTTCATTTTCTTTAAGTAATTGAAGCGCTAAGGTGCCGCCTTCCAATTAATAGTCACTTCCGTATCCTAGTGAATACTCTTGAAATTTGGAAAATCTCAAGTCTAAAAATCCCTGCTCTGGTCTGCTTAAGCATGCGTCTTGGTTTTAAGCGCCGCTCTACCACTTGATTAGTCAGGGGTGCTTAATGAGCCACCTAGGGTTAAGCATCTCTCACTGCTCAGATTAGCAGCTCATTGTTGAATTTAGTGTTTAAAAAATATGACTAGCGATTTGTCAACTTTTTTCAACTTATATTCATCAATGGGTTTTTTTCATCTTGTGTTCATCAATAGGATTTTCTCAACTAGGAGGTAAACAATGCAGTTCTTTATGAGTAATTGTATAATTGGAACAATGAAAGTTATCATTTAGAAAAGTAGTTGTACCAAATTAGATTTATCGAATTTTTAGTCTCTGCTTAGATGATTAAGAGCTAGTAGGTGGCTCATTCCTGGCTCTGCTTGACCCTTTTTGCAACACTGGAAAATCTTAAAAGAATGCAATAAAAAAACATAAGGTAGCAAGGCATGTCATCATTGGGATATTGCTTTATAAATGTAAAACTCTTAATCAAAATAAGCAACTTCCTTTCACTAATTGTACCAGTGCATAAAAAAAATCATGTGTAGTTCATATGGAAACACCACCTTGCTAAAAAATTATTTTCTAAACTTAGGATACAACTGGCAAAAAGAAACTCAATTATCCTTCACTAACCCTTTTATAACTATTACAGTAGGATGAAAGGATTAATATACTAGACACTTGTAATACCCACTAAAGTGAACTATGCATAAATTATATAAAAGAAAAGAAATTAATTTAAGAGTGAAGTACAGTTTTGGTTTCTGTGGTTTTAACTTTCCTCCATTTTCGTCCCTATTATGCATTAATTGCAGTTTTGGTCCCTTCGTCAAATGCCTGTTAAACAAGTTTGTGAAGTGAGGGGCATTTTGATCTTTTTTACATTTTCCCATCATTTTCCATTAAAAAACTCATATTATATATGTAAATAATATAGACTACCCCCTTCCACTTCCCTCCACAACAACCAGCGACCCCTCGCCTACTGCCGGAGTGCCTGTCACCATCTCAGGCTTCCTCCCACCCCTTTCACCAACTCCGCCATCCCCCCACCCCATTCACCTTCTCCGGCCTTTGCCCACTCCTTCACCATCTCCGGGCTCTGCCTGCCTCCTTCACCATCTCCGGCCTCCACTCGTCACATTCACCATCTGTTTGGTTATGTTTTAAGCAACAATAGACCCGGAGAAGGAGAAAGAAAACGCGGTGTTGCAGGGGCACAACAAAAGGATGATGCAGAAACAGGGGCTGAGTTTGAAGGTGGTGGCTGGTTGGAGAGGTTGTGGTGGAGATGGGGGCACGAAGATTTGTGGTCGATTGGAGGTGCAGGAAGGAGTTGGTTGTGGCTTCTGGTTCTATCACATTCACGGCGGTGATCAAGGTGGAAGGAGAAGCAGCGGTGGCTGGCTGTTATGGTGGGGGAAGGGCTCCCTGTGTGTGTATAATATAATATAAATTATATTTAATTTTTTAAGTGAGGGGCATTTTGGTCTTTTTATCTCACTTAACGGATTGAAACCATAGGGACCAAAGCTGCAACAAAATGCATAACGCAGTTACCAAATCTGTAATTAATGCAAAATAGGGACTAAAACGAGGAAAGCGTAAACCACAGGGACCAAGACTGTAATTAACTCTTTAACTTAATGTTAAAAAGTGACCGGGCAAGTCGCAATCGTGTTACATAATTTTTTTACGTGGAACGTGTAACGTGGGACGTGGAATGTGGCAGACACGTCTCACCCGATCACTTGGCATGCAAAGATAAGCATTGATATATAAAATGCTGTTACCAATAGTTGACTTGTCGATGTGGGATGGAGGCTGAATGTAACAGAACAAATGGTTGTCAAATTACCTGAAAATTGTTAACAATCACACATGTTTTCTACTGTTAGTTAATACTAGACATGATGGTTGAGTTATTTATCATTTTCATCCATGGATTAATTAGTGTCAACATGGATCTAGCTAGAGTTCCCAAATCTTTATGATTTTGCAAAGATGCGAGCTATCAAATGTTACCAAACATAGAAAAGTTATCGTGCGTTCATCATTGATTTGCAGCTCCCTTTTATATAGGATAATAGGATTTGTGCCTTAATTTTTTGGTGCAACATAGTTGGGAATATTTCGTATCGGGTGATGATAGAAGCAACAATATAGAGAATTTTTGTTATCTTGGGTAATCTATCAAATATAAACCTTTAAATAGTTAAGGGTAGATAATTGCCTCTGTGACCATGATATTGATGTGTAGGCTCTCTATTTCATCTAAGGTCGGGGTATTAGGATTTTTTTGTTGATAAAGGTGCATTAAGATATATATGGGACTATGGGTAATGTGGGGTTTTATATAGCTAAGATCTAGAAATAGTTATATTCTTGTAATATTGTGGTGGTGTCATACAACACTCTTAACTCTTCGCATTTAAACTTGTACATGGAAATAAAACTGTCTTGTTGAGATCGAGTTCGTATAATGACATGCTTAATTCAGCTTTACATAAGTACAGATATTTAATTTTAACCTGTAATGATATTGTATCTCTTTAAGTAATTGAAACTTTAAGTTGCCACCTTCTAATTAATAATCACTTTCTTATTCTTGCGAGTTATCTTTCAGATTTGGAAAACCTGAGTCGAAAAATGCCCACTCAGGGCTGCTTAAGCTTGCGTCTTGGTCTTAAGCATCTACCACTGCTTAGATTAGCAACTCATTGTTGAATTTAGTGTTTAAAAAATGTAACTAGTGATTAATCAATTTATGTTCATCAATAGGATCTTCTCAACTTATGTTCATTGGTAGGATTTTCTCACCTAGGAGGTAAACAATGCAATTGTTTATGAACAATAGTAAAATTGGAACAATGAAAGTTGTCATTTAGGAAAGTAATTGTACCAAAATAATGATATATCGAATTACTAGTCTATGCTTAGACGAACAAGGGCTAGTAGGTGCCTAGTTGGCTCAACCCTCTTATCTTCAAGAATGCAATCAAACAACATAAGCTAGTAAGGCATGTCATCGTTAGGATATTGCTTTATAAATGTAAAACTCTTGACCAAAATAAGCAACTTTCCTTTCACTAATTGTAACAGTGCATAAACATATCATGTGTTCATATGGAATAACCACTTTTGCTAAAAATATACTAGACAATAGACACTAATTTAAACTTAGGATACAACTGGCAAAGCGAAACATTAAAGCAATTGACCTCCACTGAAAGAATTAATATACTAGAAACTTATCCACTAAAACTAAATATGCATAAATTAAATAAAAAGAAAGAAATTAATTTAGTTTTAAAAGGTGACCGGGCAATTCACAATCTTTTTACATAATTTTATAACACAGAAAAATCTTAAAGAATTCAATCCAACAACAAAAGCCAGTAAGGGATGTAATGTGATCATTAGGTCCTTGTACTGGTGCATAACATAGCAAATGATGTCCATATGAAAAAAAATTGACCTTCACTAACCCGTTTATAACTATTATAATAAAATAGAAGAATTGATAAACTAGACACTTAATATCCACTAGAACAAAATATGCATGAACTAAAAACTATTTTTTTTTTATTTTTAATGTTACAAGGTGACCGAGTAAGTCGCAATGCTTGTACATTATTTTTACATGGAACGTGTCACGTGGGACGTGTTACGTGGAACGTGGCAGACGTCTCACCCGATCACCCGGCTTGTAAAGATAAACTGTGGTGTATAAACTGATGTTACCAATAGTTGCCTTGTCGATGTGGGAGAGAGGCAGAATGTAATAGAACAAGTGGTTGTCAAAGAACATGAAAAATGTTCAGTCACATTTTTATACTGTTCACTAATGCTTCCTCCTCAATAGGCATGGTGGTTTGAGTTATTTATTGTTTTCACCCATTATTTTAATTAGTATCCATGTGGATCTAGAGTTCCCAAATCTTCCTGATTTTGCACGGATGCATGCTATCAATTGTTACCAAATGAAGAAAAAATTAAGTTGAAAGTTGTACTTTGTAGTGACTCCCGAGCTATGTTACTGCTAGATTCTCTGCTTCTTATCAACTCATTTGGAAGTAGTTTATGTTTTAAATAACTGAACGCGATTTTGAAATTCTTAGGTACTCCTTGCTTCTTAAGGTTAGGTTACACATATTCCCTTGAGGCAATTGGAGGTCTTTATTTAATTTGTGAAAGAGGTTTCATGAAGCTCAAAGACTTCATCGAAGTAGAGATGTGATATTTCAAGAGGACATGGGAGGACTTTGGTGAAAATGAAAGAATTTCAGGCACTATTGAAATAGGAAGTATCTCTCAAAATGACAATGATTCCAATGAGGAACTTGATGCAACTAGGCCTACCACTAATATTCCTTCTAATAATAATTCAAGTCCAACCAACTCTAGTTCATCATCTTCACCAGATTCTCCTCCATTGAAAATGAGAAGTCTGGAGAGTATATATAACAACACCCAATGCTTGGATTTTGATGAAGTTGCAGATTTTGTTATCTTTGCAAATGCAGATCCTATATCATGTGATAAAGCTTACAAAGAGAAGAGATGGAGAGACGCTATGGACGAAGAGATTAGAAGCATCACAAAGAATATGGGACTTGGGATCTTGTTGATCCACCAAAGAACTGCAAAACCAATAGGAGTGAAGTGGGTGTATAAGACGAAATTAAATGAAAAGGGCGAGGTTGATAAATTTAAAGCCAGGTTAGTAGTAAAGGGATACAAGCAGAAATTTGGAGTGGATTATCATGAGGTATTTGCTCCAGTAATTAGACTCGAAACTATACGTTTAGTTCTTGCTTTAACAACCCAGAACAATTGTGGGTCCATCAAATGGACGTCAAATCTGCATTTTTGAACGGCTACTTGAGGGAAGATGTCTATATTGATCAACTAATTGGATACGTAAAGGCGAAGAAAAGAAGGTATGTCATCTAAAAAAGGCTCTATACGGTTTGAAATAGGCACCTCGTGCCTGGTTCAGCCGAATTGACAGTTACTTTCAAAAGAATGGTTTTAGGAAATGCACATTTGAACATACTCTCTTCATTAAGAGATACAAAGAGAATTTGTTGATCGTGTGCCTATATGTTGACTACTTGGTATTCACTAGCAACTCTCATGAAATGGTTGACTCGTTTAAAGATTCCATGAAACTCGAGTTTGAAATGACAGACATGGGTTTGTTGCATTATTTTTTAGGTATTGAAATAGAGCAAAAAGAAGGTATGATTGTTATCTCACAACAAAAAGATGCAAAAGAGATACTTACCATGTTCAATTTAGATAATGCTTCTCCTACTTCAACTTCTATGGAGTTTGGACTAAAACCATCTAAAGAATGCATCGAAGAAAATATTGATCCCAGAATTTATCGAAGTTTAGTTGGGAGCTTAATGTACTTAACTGCATCTAGGCCCGATATCACCTTCCCAGTTAGTCTAGTTAGTCACTATATGGAGTCTCCGAAGAAAAGTCACTGGGAAGCAGGGAAGCATATTCTACGTTTTATCAAAGGACCCTCATTCATGGCATCATTTACTCTAAGTGAGACAACCCAAAGTTAGTTGGTTATAGTGACAGTGATTACAGAGGAAGCATTGAGGATAGCAAAAGGTGGTTGCCTTATCATCTGCAAAATTAGAATATATATCTCTTTCTATGGCTGGTTGTCAAGTTCTATGACTAAGGGCCATTCTAAAAGAACTACGTATTCCTCAAGAATCTGGAACAAAGATATATTGTGATAATAAGTCTGTGTCTGCCATTGCCTTGGCCAAAAACCCGGTGTTTCACGGTAAGAGTAAGCATATTCGCATTAAGTTTCATTTCATCCGTGAATTAGTGAGCAATGGTGATGTGGAGGTGGACTTATGTGGAACAAAAGATCAAATCGCAGATATCTTTACAAAAGCACTACAACTTGGAAGCTTCATACGTTTAAAAGAAAAACTTGGTGTTTTCTTAGTGTAGCTTATAGGGGGAATGTTAAAGTATATAAGCTAGACTGTTTTGGTTCCATTATGGTGGTTAAAGAAACAGTTGAAAGTTAGCAGTTATCTTCTCAAAGGTTGCAACGTTTGATGAAGGGTCACCCCTGTTGTATTCTTTTGTATATATATACCTATATTGTTTGTATGAAAAAGTTAACGTAATTATGAATACTAAATATATATAAAAATTAAGTTTGGGATTTCGCATTCTGTTCAACCAACAAGCACCTAATGATGACTCACTATTTGTGATGCATGACGCGATGAATGACGTGGCCACATCCGTTACTGGAGATTTTTTCTTGAGGTTAGATGATGAGATGGAGAAGGATGTAAAGGAAGATGTTTTGGAAAAGTATCGTCATATGTCATTTGTTTATGAGCGATATATTGTTTACAAGAAGTTCAAGAGAGTTGAAAGAGCTAAGAATTTGAGAACATTCTTAGCAATGTTTGTTGCGATGAAAGTAAGTTTGCAAATATTCTACTTATCTAATAAGGTTCTGGCTGACTTACTTCATGAGTTACCATTATTAAGGGTCTCATCTTTGAGTTATCTCTAGATAAGAAAGGTACCAAAGTCTGTTGGGAGTTTGAAGCACTTGCGATATCTTAACTTACCTCGAACTAGAATCACACATTTACCGGAATATGTCTGCAATCTTTATAATTTACAGACATTGATCACTTTTGAGTGTAAAAGTTTAACGGGCTTGCTGAAGAGCTTCTTAAAACTTAAAAATTTGCGCCTTTTTTGTTATTTTCGGGGTTCTAAACTAGAGGTATAAAATGAGTAAAATTAAATCTACTTATTGCTTTCAAGGCGACTAAACTCTCCATCCTTAAAGCAATTTTGCCCCCACCGTATGTGCTTTGGTTATGGCGAAATGTTTGTCAAGATACAATGAAGCAACGTATGTAGATTGATTATCAACACCGCACAAGTGGTGATAATCCCGATCGGACTATTGAGTAATCAAGGATTTCAAGAAGTCTAAAAGTATGAATTTATAGCAAAATACTTTTAGGTTAATTTGGTATATGAAAAGAAGATCATTTTTGGTGTTTATAAGTAGGTATATATAGGTACAAGTGACAGCCCTCTAAACTGTCATGAACTTCGCGACGGTTTGAACCGTCGCAACATTCAAACAGCCCCAATAGTTATCTTTGTGACGTTTCAAAGCGTCGCGACTGTTCAAACAGGTGCTTTTGTATCAACTATTGCTAACCACCAATTGAACCATGACAATGGTTCACAATGCATACAAGTGTTATATGAACCATTTCATATATAATTATGATTATGTGGACCTCCCACCATTTTCAATACATATTAAATTAATATATAAAAAATTGTTCCACTTATATACCCACTTTTGTTCCACTCTTTCACCTATATGGGATAAGGTGAAACCCACCAAATCCAAATTTTCTCTTCTTCCTAGACTCAACCCAAAACACTTTTTTTTTTTTGAACGGCAACCCAAAACACTTGAACCTATTTACTTAATTTTGAAAAAAATTCCAACATTTTTGACATTAGAGATATTCCGCTTTTGAACAAGATGCCCTTAGGGACTAGTGAGTTGAAAAGTCTACAAACTCTCTCCAAGATCATTATCGGAGGAGATAAGGGCTTTGCAATAACCGAGCTAAAAAATTTGAAGTATCTCCATGCGTAAATTTCCAGAGAAAATGAAGAATTGAAGAGAAGAAAAAGTAAAAATCCGAGAGAATATCCATATACCATTCTCCTTTATCGACGCCTCCACCATTCTCGATTCAAGGTAATGATTTCATTCTCCCTCTTTGAATCTTTATGGATTTCGTTTAAGGATTTGGAATTGGAGGGATTTGGTATGTTGGGTTTCACCAATCAATGGCATCACCATCTCTTCCTATACCATCTCCGTTTTCACCAACCACGAATATTTGAAGTATGTTTCTCTTCCTAATGCTTCATAACTAGATGTGATATGCATGTTATGTGTTATTATTGCACATAAGCTTAGTAACGTATTGAATGCAACAATTTATCGGGGTAAGAGTCATAATCTTCACTTACCGGGTAAGACTCTCCATCCTTCTCATTCCTCTTACCCGGTAAGATTCTTGGCCCTTGTTATGTTCATTTGATATGGAAATTTATTTGGAAAACACTTAAACGTTTAGTAAACGGCCCCTTAGTGTTCCTATCCTATGTATCCTTTGTTAGTATTGCCCCCCATAAATCTCAAATTCAAATTCAGGCTCTTAACAAATTGGTTTGGTTTGCTACTTGTTAAATTGTAGGATATGACAGTGAGGAAACCTGTTCAATTTAATGTTTGGTGTTACAGCTCAAACAATGGATTATGAAGCCATTATGCTCACACTTGAATATGTGCAATTGCTTTTGTATGATGTGAATGTGGATATTATCTGGATTTATATACCATAAAATTCATTTATAGAATCTTAATTAAAGAGGATAAATATTATTAAATCACATAAAAATAATATTACAGTTTTCTTTTTCTTTTTTTACTTTTTCAAGTGTTTCTTGGATGCTCTAAATAGCCTTGTCTTTTTATTCTTAACCATCTTTCTCTTGACTAGCTTGAATGCAGATCGATTAATCTTTTGAACAACCATGTCGTCAATCCTTCATGCCACGAAATCTTGAATGAGACGGCCAACTGATGCGTACGATGAACCACCTTCAACCACCGTTACCCGGCTCATTTTGCTCATCCTTTTTACTTTTGCTCTCACCTCCTCATCCGCCATCAACCGCCTTATCCCGCTCTCTATCTCCTCCGCCTTCACAACCACCGTATCACCCTCCCGATGAAACACATTATCCTTATAACCCAGTTTAATATCCACCGCCAATCCCAACTCCACCACCATCTCAAATGCATTCATCTGTTGCTCAGTGTACATCGGCCATGTGCCCGTCGGTACGCCAAACCACAAACTCTCCAACATCGAGTTCCACCCACAGTGGGACACAAACCCTCCCACGGCTTCGTGAGCCAACAATGCCACTTGTGGTGCCCATCCGATCACTCTCCCAAACCCATTGGTTCGCTCTAGGAACCCATCTGGTAATATTGATCTTGGATCGTCGTAATCGTCTGGGAGGGCTTTAAATGATTGCTCCGATGGAGGAGGGCGGCGTAAGGACCACACGAAACGATTGCCGCTTCGCTCTAAAGCGTACGCTATCTCCTTTAGTTGGACCTGTAAGATAAGTTGTATTCCATTATTTATCTTACTACCTTAACAGGGTAGTAATAAATCAGAACCACTTGTAGATGCTTATAAAGGAAATGGCTTCATCAGGTATGTTCACGTAACAGAACATTACGAGAACATATCTGATAAAAGTCATTTCCGTTTAAGCAATTAATTTATACGTTATAGTACCTCCTCAAAACTTCCCATACTCCCAAAGCACAAGAACACGACCGAGGAAGGCGGTTGACCATCCAACCAACGAATGACATCTTTATCCTCGGCTTTTCCGGCAACACCGTCGAGATTGAGCACGGGTCCCACCGCGTACACTGGCGGGAAGTCAGCATACGAAGAAAAAGACTCCATTGCATGGGTTTCCAACTCCAAGAACGTATTAACCATGATCGCTTTAACCTCTCTAAATTTCTGAATAGAAATAGTAAGAAAGTCCAACCCGTCTCGAGTCTGGTACACCACAGGATAAGCCATCATCGGCACTGGCTTGATGAAGCTCGGAATCCGAAACTCGCCATCGGATTTGCTCCACTCAATAATGTCTTCTTGCTTATGATCCCTCAAAAGGGTGTCAATATAAAGCTTAAAGCCAAGAAAAGCAGCATTCGAAGTGAAGAACGCGTAGGTCGGAATACCGAACTCATTGGCCACATCTATCATCCCGGTACACAATATATCGACGACGAACCCAGCGATCCGACCAGAACCCGGTAGACTCATCATGTCGATGACAACATTCCTGACGTAACTGCGGTGACTGTTGATGAATCCATAAAAGGAAGTGAAGGGAGCTTTGAGGTCGAGCTTCGATGCGGCTTCTTGATCTGGAGGGAGTTTGATGAATCGTATGCGTTCGATAGGGTTCGTAGACAACGATCGGATGTAGGTGGTGAGAACCGAGGAAGAATAAGGAGGGTGAATGAGAAGAACGGTTATGGCGATGGTTTGATCGCGATTCACGAGTAGTTTTGCCATTTCGATGGTGGACATGATATGACCAACCCCTGGGGCAGGGATGAATACGAGCTCTGGAACTCTACTATTCGCCATGGATGGATGATTTGAAGCTTAATTGTGTTATGTTTATGTTCTTAATTGGGGCGGGGGTGTATATATATATATATATATATATGACAATGATTGAGTTGATGATGTCATTTCATTTGCTGGAAGCACTTTGTATCTTGTAGATATTTTAATGATTTACTTGCATAACAAGAACACTTGATGACCAAGGAAATTGATGTTGAATTGTTAATTTAAATGATTTATTTTGGATCCACTCGACATATATTTTTATTTATTTATGAATTTTGATCCTAATCAAAGAGATAAATAAGACGAAACTATTTAAGTAGAAAACATTGTCAACCATTTGGATGTGTGATGTTACTTCAATTCCACCAAAATTTCTGGATCCGTCACCGTTTACTTTACCGGATAAGATTGTAGTATATCAAAACAGTACGTAAAAATTTACCCAACAAAGGATCACTAAAGTAAAAGTTGTCGTCCTCATTTACCGAGGAAGACTCTTCATCCTTATAATCGCTCTTACAAGATTACTTTCGATCCATACCATTTTGATAAAAGTTTACCGGGTAAATGCTTTTAGTAAACGACACATTAAGGTACCGTTTACCAAACGCTTATCCAGGTAAGCGCTTACCAAGTTACTTTACTTTACCGGATGAATATGGCAATGACTAAAAATCTTACCCGGTAAGAACGAAGACAAGAATCGAGAGTCTTAACCAGTAAGTGAGGACGAGCACTCTTACCATGGTTCGCATTTACCGCGATAAATTGTTGCATACGATGTGTTTTAGTGAATAAAATCTTATCCGGTAAATAAGCAATAGTGTTGAATTTTACCGTTAAGTACTTACCGGGTAAGTGTTTAGGTAAACGACCCCTAAGCCCTTAATCCCTAATGAGGTTGGGCTTTCTCGGTAATCTGGACATGAGTGACCAAATGTAAACCACGAACACAATGCTAACTCACATGTTTATGGATTTTTAACATGTATTATAAACCGGAAAATTGTATAAAAATAAATTTAATTTGTTTTGGTTTCTATTTTATAATTTTGGATACAAAAAAGTAGAGACGGCTAATTATAAAAAATAATACCTTTTACAATATTTTTCTATGAATATTCATCTTTTATAAACATTTTTATGCATAAAGTATTTATTATCGATGCATATTACTTAAAATTCAATATTACAAGTAAATAGTGCGTAAGTTAACTTACTAAAGCTTTATGTTTGAATTTGTGTAACTAACTGCAGATAAACAATCAAATAGTGAATAAACATCTCATTTTAAATATAAAAAATCTAAAATATAATTAGGATAATTATTGAGTTCTAACAAAATACTTAATTATTATATTTATAAAAAATTATATTATTAAACCAAAAATAAAAGAATGAATTAAAGAAATATAAAAAAAGAGAAATTTTAAATAGTTAGTTTGGTACATAATATAAAAAAAAAATCCAATTTTTATGATATCTTCATATTTATATTTTATTCAAAAATAAAAAAAAATTATCGTTTTCTCAAAACCACATAAAACCGTATTATAACATCGACTGAGACAAAATAAATAAATAAAACGAAACATTAAAATCGAGATGTATCTCGCTGCATTATGCGAGTACCCTTCTAGTTTCTCTAAGAGATGTTAGGTTGGAAAACTCTACATCTTATATGTCATATAAAAATTAATAGAAGATTTTATTTAAAACGTGTACTGAAAAACTTGTTAAGAAGCCGAAAACAATGATTGTTTGGTCCTGTAAACTCAATTTATATATATATATATAATTAATAAAATTATATATATAATATTGTAATTAAGATAGTTTATATATATATATATATACTATCTTATAAAGCATTTGGCTAAAACTCTTAAAAACTCTTAAACCCTTCCCATATCTGAATTCGTGTAACTAACTGCAAATAAATACAATCAAATACAAAATAAACATCTCTTTTTAAATATAAAATATCTAAAATATAATTAGTATAATCATAAAATTCTAACAGAATACTTAATTATTATCTTTATAAAATTTATAATATTAAACCAAAAATAAATTATTTATTATTAAACATAAATTAAATTATATAAATATATATATATATATATATATATTATATTATAAATCATTTGACAAAAACTCTTAAAAACTACTTTTTATGCGTAAAGTACTGTTTATTAATGCATATTACTTAAAACTCAAAATTACAAAAAAATTGTCCGTAGATACAACTTATTAAAACTCCATATCTGAATTCTTGTAACTAACTGCAGATAAACACAATCAAATACAGGCTAAACATCTCATTTTAAATATAAAAAATCTAAAATATAATTAGAATAATCATTGAGTTCTAACAAAATACTTAATTATTATCTTTATAAAATATTATATTATTAAACCAAAAATAAATTATTTCATTATTAAACTTAAATTAATTTATAAAAAAAATAATCTAT